GAGTATTGGTTCCGCCGCTGTCAGGTGCCAACAATGCAAGTTGCCGCGATGAAAGCCCGGCTCAAAAATGAACAGCTCGAGGCCCTTTTAACTCAATTGAAAACATCTTTTAAAGGCGGAGCGAGTGAAAAGCGAGAGGAGTCGCGGGTAAAAGAATTAAAAGTTGACCCGACATTGTCTCTTTAATCTCGGGAGTTTTCGTGCGTTCCACATAACCTCCAACTTTGAAGTGGCGTGCCGTGCCCGCGCCCAAGACAAAGGATTTTATTTCAGCTACACCTGGGGCGGGCGATCCATTTGGAAAATAATAAAAAGCGATGCGCGGCAAGGCATCGGGAAGGATAGGAATTATTTTCTCGCGGAAAAGCGAATAAAAAACGTTTCCCTCCGGAATGAGTAGAATTTACGAGGGAGGGTTAAAGTCCGAATCCCCCGGCGGTGGATATGTGGTTTCGTCAGGCGCAGTCTACCACACATACACAAACGCACCCTCATATATAACGTATACATAACGTATGTGTGTAGTACACACATACACAAACGCACGCGTCTCCCTCGCTTCCTGATTTTTATCCATATTCTGCCCTGCTTCGGAAAAACACCGTATGAGCATTCGAATGTTGCCAAATTTCCGCTTGGAAAATGTTTATTTTTGACGTAAGTTATAAATATATTCTGCCGTGCTAAGGGAAAACGCCGCATGAACCATTAGGTGTTGCCAAATTTCCTATGATAAAACACGACTTTCCCTGTGACCTTATGAAGATTTTTCTGCCAATTTTACAGATAATTTTGTCCGCAATTGTATTCAAATTTCCTGAAAATTTCGGGGGAAAATATTCGTAAACATCCTCAAAAAGAAAGATTTTAGTGTAGGAAATTTGGGCAACTCTCGAATGTTCATACGGCGTTTCCCCTTAGCACGGCAGTATTTACCTTCTTCCTTCATCCGTTTTTCTTCCGTGTTTCACTCTCGTATAAATTTCACTTTGCCTCTTACCCCGTCACGCCCGGGCCAAACGGGAAAGCTCCGATTCGTTTTTACGCGGAAAATATTTCTTTATTTTTCGCGAGGATTTTTCTTCTTTTTTATTTTTCTCGCTGGCATAAATTTCCGTTAACCTTTGTCCGAGCCTGGGAGGTTACGTAGCGGGAGGAATCAAAAGACGACGGGAAAGTGAGGAAATTTACGATTCGAGACCGTATTTCTTGATTTTTTGCCTGGAATCCCCCGCCCCGCTCTCCCCCCGGCCGCCGCCTTTTGATTCGCGACCGAATTTATTCTTGGAGTGGCGCTGTAATCTCATTTCCGAACGGAAAACAAAATACTTCTCTCGAACGCATCCAGTTGTCAAAGGCGCCTGTCTTCCGATGCAGTATGCAATAATTCATACACGGCCGCCGCCCGTTCTCCGCGGTTCGCGGCTCCATGTTGCCGCGTTTGGTGAGGATCCGTACGCGAGTCTCGGTGCTTCGCTTCATCCGAATGGTTATGCAATTCGCAGTACGTCAGAAGCGAAATAATTATATCAAGGCCCCTGCCTCGAGTACACAAGCACATCGTCACCTTCCGACCAAAGTGCCACAAGCGTCATGCGACGTTTCAAAATTTTCGCCGCTATTTTATTTTTTTGCGGATGAATTGTTCAAGGAAGCTACCCGAAAATTTCACTGAATTCTCTTTGTGTTGCCGATAAAGTTCAGTGACATTTTCAAACAATTTCTCTGTAAAAAAATAAAATGGCGGCGGAAATTTTTAGAGTTGCATGGCACTTGTGATACTCAGCCGGAGAGTGAGGACATGTGGGCCTTAGGATTTTTTCATATGCACTCCCTTACGAGCGAGTCAGAGATCAGCTTGACCCAATGTCACTTGCGTCAGCCAAAGAATCGTGTTACAATTGTTGTTGAATCTTGCGGATGGTTGTAGGGCATTTAGTAAACGATTTTTTGTCCGCGCACCTGTTTTTTTCCAGTAGTTTACATTCACGCGTTTTTTTCGGCAGGAGAGTTTTAGTCCACCTACCAATTGAGGCTCAAAAATTAAAATGTAAAAATCAACAAAGTCATTCAGTTTTTTATTCGAATAATCAAAATTCCCGGAAAATTTCGATGTGCTCAAATTTACCGCCGAGAAAAATTTCTTATGAATCAATAAAGAAAATAATGCTTGTTTAAAAAAGAAAAGGTGCTTTATAAAAAGAAAAGTCACTTATATCAAGCAGAAACCCGATTTCATTTCAGCTATTGTATTCTTGATTCAAAATAAAACCTTCTTGACGGTATACTTAAGAATGCTTCTACCTAAATCGAGTCACTTTTTTCTTTAATGAAATTCAAAAATTATGCTAAACGTTATTAAATACGAATGCTAGGACTTGGTGAGTTTTTGGCCTACTGCTCTCTTTTTGTGCCGTAGTATCTTGATTTATTTTGCGAGGAAAGCTCCGTACTCTTCAAGGATGCCTGCCATTCTTAATATGTTGGATCGCCTTCAATTTCGTATGCTACTGTGCAACACCTCTGATGTGAAATAGTTGCTCGAGGCGCCGCCGTGGCACGCTTCGGCGCGGCTAGCGGTCGACCAGCGCAAATCGCGCACTGACGCCTACAAACCTAAGGGGATACTTCAAGCATAGCGCAATGCGTGAAGTATCCCTGTTAGGTTTGTAGGCGCCAGCGCGCGTATCGCGCCGGGAGCACGCTGCTCGCTCCGTGTTAGGCTCTAATATTTAAACTCGCGGAGCCAGCGTTTTTCAACTTATGATTTTGATATGTTTGCACACTCCACATAGATTATTCTCATGTAAGTTGATGAAAAAAAAATTAAAAGAAAATATAGTGTGTGTTTTGTTAATATTAGAGTAGTTCTGTGTCAAATTTAATGATTTTCAAAGGACTTTAATTTTTCTAATATATTATATGCTTTTAAGTGCTGCAGCATGGTGCGCGCGCAACTAAATGCTCAATATTGGACGTATTTGACTCTAAAAGATAGACGTACCAGATGGGTTAAAACCCAAAATTGCGTGTTTCTTGGTTTTTTCCTAGTTTATTCCTGTTTGTTTGGTTTCTTTTAACACCACTACGACTCATTGATATTAATATCGATGCCATCGCTTGGAAAAGGTTTTCCCCTCGAACGCTACGAGGTCCATTTTCCGAAAACATCGTCTTTGCGCCTACATTATCGCCTACTCACACTCAAATATTCATAAGTTTTATGAAAAACCCTAGGTATTTCATCGGAGCAAGTGTGGCAGCATCCCAGTGATCGTACGAAATTTTTCCTCAGCAACATGCAGAGGCGGATCCAGCAATTTGGCAACACTGGATTTCCTCCATTTAAACCTATGCTAAAAAATCGATTATTGTCGGGGAAACTTGCCCCTCTAAGAATCGATACATTTCCATAGGTTCAAATGGAGCAAAGACAATGTTGCCAGTTTGCTGCACTGAAAAAAAGCATTGTAACATTTACTATTAGTCTATTTGATTTTTAACACAGTTATACTATTTGTTGAAAATAACCAGAATTATAGTAGTATTCGCCAGAATTCTTATGATTCTCGCCATAACATGGTAAATGCTACCATAGACTCTGGTTTTTATTATCATACTCCTATTACTGTGTCAGAGTATGGTAAAATCTACCATTGTTTTTTTTTCAGTGTGGATCCGCCAATGGCAACATGGATGCAACGGGGGATAGGATCGAGATATTAATTTGGCGCGGGAGATGACACGAGTTTTACACATTGCACCCAGCTTCGGTCGCGGCCCGGCTTTGCACCGCTCGGCAGGAACCGCGTAAATTGCATGCATATTGTATGCAGTTACGAGGTTTTTCATTAGCACGAGCACCAGCGTACAAGCACAGATTGCGGCAAGCACTACATAAATAACTCTCCAACGTAAAAATTCTGTACAGTATAATATTGCATTTTCGCTATTTTATTATCGCTCCATATTTATGGGCACAGGCGTCCTTGCCAACTTTATTCCGGCCCTCGCCGTGGCACAAAGGGGGGGGGGGTATGGTGGCATGCCTCCTCTCTCGGGCCAAAAAAGGGGAGACAGAGGAAAGAGGGGGAAAAGAAGGGGAGCATAGGTATCATACCTAAAAATTAAACAGACACGATCAAAATAATATTCAATTCAATCTTTTTACGAATCACTTGGTTTCTTTTCACTAGACCCTCCCTAAGTAAAAACGTTAGTGCTCAACTGCTCAATTTATTTATGAGATAATTCCCAATTTCCACAGATAATTTCGTAAATTTTTTTGTAAACTAATGAACTTATTTTGCTGCTGAGTTTGACAGATTATTAGAATCAATATCAAGACTCCGATGTCAAATAGCTGCCAAAATGAATGAAGCCTGCTGAAAATAAATTCGTTTTATTTTTCAGCATTTCATGAAAAGTCGGAAATGACTTGACATCGGTACATCACGTCTCATCTACGAAAGATTAAGGCCGCCTTAGAAGTGATGTTCGGGGGAAAATGGTTAGTTATTTAAGGCAAATAAACCTAGAAATGTTTTCATTATGTGGCGCAAGCTCTTTAAAATACTCGTTTCTTCAGATGAGTGATTTCCAAAGTAATTAGTCTAGTATCAATTACCTATCAGGATACTTTATTGAAGAAATTATGAAAATATGAAATTTTGACAGAAATTTGTATAGGTATCATTGAATTTAAGAGCTTGATAAATGAGTAAGTTACTTTGTTGATTGGATTGTTCTCTGGGAATTGTATTCAATCGGATATCTTTTAAATTGGTAAACAGTGATAAGATGCACCCAGATGCCAAGTTTTAATTACCAACTAGAGATATCTCTTTTTACATCAATTTAATGAACAAATCAATTTTACATTCAATTAGACCGGGAATGCTTGACACTGTTTTTGCCTTGTCATGTGCATAAATGTATTTGGTATCTTCATGATGGAATAAAGGTGTTATTTAGGAAGTGAACAAATAATTTAACTTTAATTTCATACATAAATAGGTTTTTATTCATACATAAGTAATTACAAATGATGATAAATTAGATCCTCGACAAAAAATGTTACAGTCTTTCTACAGCAAAAAATCAAACAATATTTACAAAATACAAAGGTGAAAATAGAGAAACTTCACAAAAATACAAATGTTCGGACTAGTTGAAATTATACACTAAAATCATAAGATACATCGGGAAAAATACAACGAAACAGTCTTGAAAATGATTGCTAGGAAATCGGATAAAAATTACAACTCACTCATGTGGCTACAGGTCTTTATTATGCGATAATTATCGATTTATTAAAAAAATCTTTGCGGCAACGTCTTGACGTTGCGACCAGTGATCAGGGGTGAATGATCGATTAACGATACTTCCCCATTTGAAGCGATGACTAAGAATCGATTATTAAGGAGTCCGTTTCGAACACCCCGTTTATCGATACTTTTCCATAGGTTTAAATGGCAGATCACTCGATACACTGCAAAGCACGCCACGCCGCTGGTTGCGACTTATAAAATCGTCTATTACGGGTACTCGAATTGGTTACAATATTGTTTGGATTTCACCCAACTGAAACAAATTACAATAATTGTTTCCAATCTTTGTGAAGCGGAACCTCTTTCAGTGTTCTTATTGGTAAATCGATACGTATTTGTCACTCGATATCTGTATAAAACGTGGTTCGAAACAACTCTTATAGGAGCCAATCTCCAATCACGCGTTCAAATAAGACTGCAAAACATAATACAGGAAAGGAACGGTACAAACTGCTCGGAAAATCAACAATAATTATCTTCGCAAGGCGATAAAAAAGCATATAAGCTCTTCAGAATTATTGTAAAAACCAGGGATATTCTTTGGCTTCGCCATGAAAAAATGTGTTACAAATATACAAATTTTTACGAGATTTATTCATGCGATCTAACTTATCATCGATCTTTTTATGACATACTTGGTGAAATTCGCTTTTATTGATTTGGTGGCACTAATGAAATGACGTTAACTTTAAAGGAGTTGAATGGAAACTTAGGTGACGTCATATTTAAGCTATGAAATATTTTCTCAAAATTCTTCGGGTTAGATGGCAAGGCTTCTTGAAAATTTCAAGTTTCAAATCATTCATAACTCCGAAGAAATTATATGAAAAAATAAGTATTCGATAGGTTAAATTATACTTCCTGATATACATGCACGACGTAACACTACATACTGAAAGTCAAACCGTTAATTGTAGGTTTTGGACTAAAACTAACCGAAATCTTTGATTAAACTGAGACTAAATGTACAATTAAGTACTCTAATCAAAAGGAGAAACAAAATTCCACTGATTCATGTATGCAAGTTATCATCATGAGATATCAATCATTTACATGCCTTTATTGCCTCATGATACAAAGGCTTTGAACGAGATGGGATCTCAAATAAAATAAAAAGGGGAAAATATACATTAACTGAAACAGTTAATAAGTTCACATTCTTCTGGATTGAATTTTAAATTTTTTTTAAAATTATCTTTCTTTTTCCAGCCTCTACTTCAAATTAGCAAAATTAGAGGATTCAACTCATAAAAATCTTGGCGGAAATTGCGGACGCAACTTTGAAATTTTGCTGGAACCGGTGGCGTGGCGTGTTTTGCGATATATCGATTAATCTGCCATTTAAACCTCTGGAAAAGGATCGATATACAGGGTGTTCGCAACAAACACCTTCATAATCGATTCTTTACCATAGCTTCAAATGGGGAAATATCGATAATCGATCATTCACGCTTCGCCATTGGTTGCTATCGAATAAATCAACGGACTGAAAACTTTCAATACAAATCGATGATAGATCACTGCACTCTTTAAACATGCCGTGGGCTCGACAGTTCGCTTAAACACGAGAAAAATACATATTTACAGGTATTCACAATATTCATAATTACACGGTGGGGCACAATACGCTCTCCAAAATAAACGAGAAGCGAATTGAAACGAAACGAAATAAAATAATTAAGTAAACAAACAAAGTAACTAAAAACGTGATGCGTTTGCACGGACGCGCAAAGCAAATTTTTAGACTCGATGGCGCTGCTGCACTTTCGAACTTTGACGGGGATGAAGAACTTCGATCGAATCGAACTTTTTCTGATCCTCGAATTCTTAGACTCGAGTTCAACTTCAGTCAAGTTGGTGCTCTAAATCCTACCGTTTTAAACCATGTTAAAAATGGCTAAGGGTATCAAAATGAGACTCCTGCGTAAGCAACATTATCAATAGTGAAAATTATTTAAAAGCTTTGATTTTCATATTGTTAGATTCAAAAACGGATTTGTTTGACTATAATATGCCACAGCTAAAAGTGGTGATATTTTAGACAGGCTCACTTCGAATTCTTCGAAAGTGTAAATTAGAAAACGACGATTTTTATTCTTTAGTAAAGATGGACAGAGCAAGAGAAAATCAGACCTTATTTTGGAGCAAAAATTGATGGACAGTACGTGATGAGCTCAATTTATTCATACGTGTTTTCCTGTCCAAAATAAAAGGTGGAGTTCAAAATTTTGAAGTTCCAATTTCCTTTGTAATATTCAATTTTTCGGAGGAATAAAACTTCCAGCCCCTTCCTCTGGATTTAAACGTGATGTGACTTGGTTCTTTTTTACTTAACTCGGTACATATGACCATTATTTCCTGGTAATAGGGAGAGAGATCCAATCATTCGAAGCTATTTTTTCACATCAAGAATATGTGGAATACAAATCGCGTTACATAAAAATTGAATCAAACTTCGTTACTTCAATCATCACATCTCGCAATTGAGTTGCAGTTGAGGTATAGTCTAATATAATTAAGCTTCCATGAGCTTTGACTTAAAATTCTATGCTCTCATTTGGATAAGGTATAAGGATCTTTCTGTTTGAATCGAACAGAGAAACTCGCTAAAACTGTGAAACATGAAAGATGCTCGAGGTTCTGCGACACAGAAAGAATTTGTAAAATAAAATTCGAAGTGCTGGACGTTTAAAATTTTCTGCGGCGCGCGTTCGTACAATTATACAACATACAATTGTACAATTCGTACAATTATACATTATTACAACTAACTACAAAAGATGATATTTCACACGAGGTTTGCGCAGGGAAAACCTGCGTGTCGGGATTATCTAGGAGACCGATTCGGTTTGATTAGGATTGTAGAAATTTACACTAGAGTTGGCTGAGGTGAGTTTGGTTCCTAGCGGAGCATTGACTAGATGAGTGGCGACTGGCGACGCTTGTGATTGGCCAGATCCGGAAAAGCTCAGGTCTGATTGGCCAATGGGCAAGGTTGGCGTCATCCAAGAAGAATAACTGTTGAGGAATTTAGTCACCGGTACTGGACCTAGAATCAGAACGTCAAAAAAATTAGCTTCTGCATTCGCGCACACTCTCTGAATTAAAAAAATTAAATCTTGTGATAAATTATCTGCCATTATCATGCTTTTTCAAATCTGTTTTCGTGACTGACATATATTTTTCACAAGCAACCCGTCCTCAGACAGTGGCTAATGCGACGAATTTTATACGAATTTCGATTTAACTCCTGGATGCAACTATTCGGGCTCCATGGATGTCCGTGTTGCATACGCGCAGGAGTGAAGGCGTTTTGACTGTCCAGTACTTACCGCTTGGCGCGGCGTCAACGGTAGGCTTTACTCCGAGGATCTAAAATGACATAGTGCCTTCAATTCTTCATTTATGTTTCAAGGACCAAGAATGAGATGTAAAATAAGAAGAAGAGGAGGAAGATGGAGAAGAATGGAAATAATAATATGAAGATAAAGAAAATGAAGAAGACTGAAGAGCAGATGAGGAGTAGGAAGAAGGAGACGAATGGGAAGAAGAGGAAAAAGAGGAGGAGGAAGAGAGAGAAGAATGGAAATGGGAAGATGAAGAGGACAAAGAAGCAGACGAGGAGTAGGAAGAAGAAGATAAATGAGAAGAAGAAGAGGAGGAGAAAGAAGGAAAACAGGAGGAAGACGAAAAATAAAAATAATGGAAAAGAAGAAGAGCACGTATAATAATAATGATAACAAGAAGAAGAAGAAGAGAGAGAATGAAAAGCGAAGAGGAGGAGAAAGAATAAAAAGAATAGGAGGAGGAAGAAGAAGCATGTGTCTACACGGGAACGTGAGGTGAACACACGCCGGTCAACCTATAATATTAGTTCCATATTACCAAACTTAGTCCAACTGTGGTCGGCATGAAGTCTATTAAGTTTAGAATCACGGTGAGAGGAAAACAAAGAGACACTTACCTTGGTTAAAACTTGGCGCTACGTCACCAGGCGGTGGGCGTTTAAGTTGATCCCTGCTCGGAAGCTCGCGGACCTGGTGGACGAGGCTAGCTACCTCGGGGGCGGGGGCGGCATCGAAAGGGGCGCCCTTGGCAGCCAGGTGGGCACGGCGACGGTGGCTGAGGGCGAGGGAAGCGACGATGCCCAAGAAGAGAATAACAGCGAGGGTCGCCCCGAGGACGAGCTCGAGGAGCGAGTCTCGCTCGGCGCCGAGCCGCTCCACGCGCCGCTCGCCCAGCTCCGACTCCACCGCCCAGATCTGGATCGAACGGTTCCGCCCGGGGGCGCCCGTCGGCGGCGCCGCCTGCGAAAGGGGCGCCGAGGAGGGCGCCGCCGATGGAGCCTCTTCCGACTCCGCTCGGCTCACGCGGTGAGTATCCAGGACTAGTTCCTCGCTCTGGTCGGGTCGGCTCCGCTGCTTCGAGTCGTAGACCTCCACCTGGAACAGAAATACACGCACGTTAGTTTCAATCAATGCAATAGAGAAGCACAGCTTTTCACAAACGGAAAGAAAAAGCACAAAAAAAAGTCAAGTTAACTGAAAAAAATACTTCTGTTCACGGGGCTCCTGCACTTCTTTTGTAACAGTCACAGAAGCTTCCGTTATTAGGACAGAGTACTCTGTTCCCACGACCGAAGTTCTGTTCTCACAACAGAAAATTCGGCAAGTGTAACAAAAAAACTGCAGGAGCCCTGTGAACAGAAGGTTCTGTCGTCAGCACCATCAATTTTTTTCTGTGTTGATTTAACATTCTGGATGTAAGACAAGTGTGCGAGAACTTAAAAAATGCTCAACTACCCGCCAAAGCAGTTAATTTTACGTATTGGCATTGCTAACGTAACTGCCGTATCAAGAAATTCGGCATTTTATAAGTTCTCGCACGCTTTTTTTACACCCAAAATGTTGAATCAACTTCACTTCTTTTCCAAGTAACTGCTTTTTTTTTTTTTAACAGCGTGGCTTTACAAATAAATTTAAACAACGTCTGAGGATGATTAGCGTCCTTTTTCAAGGTAACATGCTTTCCAAAACGAGTGAATTGGGCGAAAGACTTTAAAAACCTCCTGTATCACGTTCCACGGATACAGGAAAAGTTTCCGACGAAATTTAAAGCTCTGGAACAATCCACACTTGCGATCTGCCGACGAGCGACAATCGAACGGAACATGGCGTTTGCGTCTCGGATGATAAATGGCCTGCGGGCGCCTCGAATATTCAGAGCATCCATTTTACGAGTGTCGATGAACACTAACCCTCATTGTCCCGATGTCACCCATATTAAGGTCACACGCGGCGAACGCGACATAGAGACGTCCCATCTACAGGGTGTCCCCAAGTTAAAAAATTCCGCGTTCATGCTTACTTTGAGTTACCTTTTTTTGGTCGATCAACCAAAAGGATTTAGGGTAATTCGATGGACGCTATATTTTGTGTCAGAGCGACATGCTATACATCGCATCGATTGGTTCCATTTTTTCAACCACTCATTAGTTGTCTCGAATTTTGAGATCGCAATTCTGTTGCCAGGATAAACTAAAGAATTCACTTACCAATTTTGACAAAAAATTCAACGTAATAAAGGCGTGGATTTTTAGAGAAAGAATATCGCATTCGAGTGGAGTTTCGATGTCAGTATCAAATGCTATATTTTTCCTCTAAAAAACCACGCCTATATTACGTTGAATTTCTTTGCCAAAATTGGTACGTGAATTCTTTAGTCTCCTGAACAGAGTTGCAATCTCAAAATTCGAGAAAAATAACGAGTAGCTAAAAGAACGGAACCAATCGATGCGATACATCGCATGTCGTTCTAACACAAAATATGACGTCCATCGAATCACCTTAATTGTCAACCAAATTTTTGGTTAAATCTACCAAAATTGCAGGTTACTCTGTGACATTCAGAGAAGAAGAAAAAGTCCAGCTAAAGTGATGCTCTCTGGTTTCGCTCAGGATTTACTAGAATTTGCGTCTTGCGAGTCATTCGCGCCATGAAAGGATGAACGATGCGATCCAGATTTCCCAGAGAATCTAGGGGATTTTTTGGGGATATTGGAGCAAATTTGAGGATTTAGGGATTTTTATTGAAATCTAAGGATTTTATTTCAGATCACTGTTCCCAAAGCATGGCGCTTTTACTTCCGGACGCCCTGTATAAAACATCCACCCGGTCCCCCGTAAAAAGGGCCGATTTCCACGCCGGGAGACAACTTCCGGGGCCAAGTAAGACCGAGAACGAAGAGATATCGTCACCGGGAAATGACAGACGCGGCCGGGGGCGAGGGGAGGGGAGGGGGGTGAAGGGTCATGTACCAACAAGCGACGGGTAAACAAGGTCGGAGGCGGGGGACGGGGCGTTGATTGAGAGGAAGTTGCGAACAAGTGAAGTGAACGAATTTCATGCGAGTAAAATAACAAATCGAGTTAAAGCCCGCAAAGAGAGAAAGTCCCGCCGTTGCCGAGCGAGCTTTCACTGGAGCTTTCGCCGACGGAACATGGAACTTTTCGCCTGGTTGCCGGGGATGGGCGGGTGAGACTCGAATCTGCGATGCGATGGCAGGTGATCGGGAAAACGCTGGATTGAGAGGATACAACTATTCGTGCTTCGCGGTAGGCTAATTGGCCTATCTACCGTTTTGAAGGCGAATACCCTGATTCTGAACTCCAGTAATAAGTTTGTGATCCAATGACATAAGTTTTTCAACGAAGGTTTGCCTCTTTATGATATTAGACTCACGCTTCATTATTTACCTTTTTTTTAGCGTACTTAGTATTGAAAAATGAACCAATTGATTACATTCCTTGTTACTTTAGGAATTCTGATCTGATCAAACAGAAAAAAGGTACAAAAACAACTTCGAAGTAAAAGCAATTTAGAGAACAATCCAAACAGTTAAGTGACACGTGTTCTTTTTTTTCTCTCTCTGATATTCATTTGTTTTTAATGTTTCATTTGCGGCCATACGAGGTTTTAAAACTGAAAAGAGCACGGCATTGTTTATTTAATAAGTTACTTTCAAGATTGAACAACTGTTATCTTTTTTGATCATGACTTCCTTCATTTTTTAGAATTATGGCTAATATTGTGTCTTTCTATTTTTTAAAATTTAACTGACAGTATGAGATTTATTCGTTGCTTAATCTTCGCCTCCTTAAGCTATCAGAAATTAAATTATTACTACCCTTGTCCTTTACTCTTTTAACTTGCACCCGAGATTTCAGTATCGACGTCATCGCACAATATATGGCAACATCAGTCAGGTGGTTTTGTGAGTTCTCCCGTAAAATTTCGTAAAATTGGAAATGTGAAGAAATAAGCATCGAAATTTGCAGTTGTATTAAAGCGTTTCATGTCCGGTCTCTACCATCGACTCGTGCCTTTCTGCGACTGTGATGCAGATGTAATAAAACTGCTATGTTCTATTTTTACGATTCCCATTTGTTTCACGTCCTTTGAATATTTTTTATTTCATTTGATATCATTTGAGGGGCTTGGAGGGCAAGGTGCATAAGTGCAGTTTTTGCTATTTCGAGAAGTACGTGTTTGAAGTTCCGAAATTAAACGGATCTTTAAGGCGGAAAAAATGTTCACATTGACTTCTTGATGCTTAAATATTGGAATTCGGGAGCGAATTTTTCACAGAATATGCATTAAGACTAGTTTTACTTAAGATCGATAATATCTCAAAAACTGCACTTATGCGCCTTGTCCCCCAAGCCCCTCATATTTCCTGTTAATTTTTCAGAGTCTTCATTTATTGGAGTCTAGACGGGGCAACAGCGGAGCAGGACCCTATTTGCCACTTTTGAATTCTCGCTTGATTGTGTTGCTTGTCCCCGCTCGGGTCCGAGGGCAAGATATGTCATCGGAGCAGAATGATAAGTAGTCCCTATTACCCCCCTCCCTTCCCCCACCCTTACCATTTCCCCGATCCCCGCCACTCGGCCTTATGAACGCTCATTCACCAGCTCTCTTGGGCTGGAAAATTTGTCGACTCCGATGAAAAACTCAAATATGATTTCCCTCTCTTCACCGCTCTCTCCCCGTCTCCTTTCTCTTGTTTTGTCTTTTTACTTCATCTCCTGCCGTGGATTTTTACGTGACTAGTCAGGGGGTTCCAAATCGTCCGAGTGGTTTTGGAAGGGAGGCAATGGGTCAGTTGTGCTAAAATCCCTTCAAGAGCCGTCCATAAATTACTACTCTCCCTAATTTATTAAGGGGGCGGGGTGTAAGTGCATAATCTTCATGGCCTTGTCTCTATATACTTACACACGACAAACAATTTATATAGCAGAGGCGTTGTGTGCAGAAAGGGCATTTCTTGGTTGCGGTGTTGTAGAATCTCCACTGCTAATTTTTATTTTAGAGAGGAAACTATTGGGTGAATTTGCTGAAATTTTCAGTTTTCAGCATTGTAGAACCATAAAGAAAAACCAGTAAAAGTTGTATCGGATTCTATGCATTTGCTTTGATTATAGTGGATGAAACGTTAACGGTGATCCGGAGACACCGCAAACAAGAAAAGTCGCCTTTCTGCACCCAGCGCTTCAAATACAATAATAATTAAAAATGCATTTTAGGAGATTTTGCAACGCGGCACGACGAAACTTTCTTTCCGCGATGCGACGTCTCGGTTCGGGATCGGGGAACATTCGGTGGAAAAATTGCGCAAATTGATTGCGAAATGATGCCTGTCTCTATGAATTTCGTGGCGACGTCACGAAGCCGATATCCGCGAGCGCAGTCATTTTCAATGGCGTCGCGCGCGTCGCTCCTCCAGAAACCCCGACGTCCCGCACTGAAAAAAAAATCTCGGCGTATTTACTAAGAAAAGGGTAAAATTACCAAGAATTCAGGGTTCTATTTGATCCCAGTTTTTTCTTGGTAAAATTACCATTTATGGAATTGGTAATTTTACCGAGAAATCTCGGTAAAATTATTGAACTTTCTCGGTAAATTTAATGGGCCTTGGTAAAAACGCTAATATTTTTTATCGACTGTGGGAGAATTACCGAGATAAAATGGCAAAGTTACCGGGAATTGATTACCAATAAAAGTGGTATTCTTACCTGGAAAAAACAGTAAAAATACAGGTTTTAAGGTAAGCTTACCAGCCTGTCTTGGTAAAATTACCAATAATTGGTAAAAAAAAGTGACATGGTAAAGGTACCAACGGACTTTGGTAAAAACGCCGAGAATTTTTTTTTCAGTGCGAGGTTCGATTGCCGGCGCCGGCGTCGGCAGCGGAACTTCCACAGAGTCCCAAGATCCTGCCGCCCGCACCCATTCCTTTGAAATATCGTCAAAGTATCACAAGCGCCATGCGACGATTTAAAAATTTCCGCCGCCATTTTATTCTTTTTACAGAGAAATTTTTCAACGAAGCTGATCGTAAATTTCGCTGAATTTTCATTGTTCTGACAATATATTTCAGTGA